TGCTCCTCTCTTTCTCTCTCTTCGCTCCACTCGCTATCAGCCTATCAGAGGCACTCTCAATGTTATAGCCATCCTTACCATAGACTATCATTAAAATGTTATAGCAACCACCCTGACCATCCTGTAGATCACGAGCATTCTCTATGATACAGCCTTGCATACTCCCCCATAATGACATAGGTAAACAGGTTTTATAACAGGGTGCTGCAGTAGTATAATGGCTGTTAGTTCTGGGTGCTAGAGTTAACCAACCAGGTAGAGGAGATGCAAGATGGTCTCCAGTCTTCCCTGGTCGTCTCCTTCACATCAACATGGTCTAAAGATGAATATGTAAAATCCTCAACCTATTAAAATCCCATTCGATTTATCAGCACTCCCGCGCTTCATAAATGAATCATGTTATACTAAAGAGTCTTAGGGCCTCTTTACAATACACTACTTTGACAACACAAACTAGGTCTAAGAGAAAGATACTTCTGTAGTGTAAAGGGAGAATCTAGATTCAAATCTCTCTTTAAGAAGTACTGTGGAAGACAACTACACCAGATACCCCCCTCTGACTGGTACAGTGTAAGGTCAATAGAGCCCCACAGTGGAGGTGTCATAATACCCATAAAACCTAGCGGTAAAACAGGGAAATGTTCCAATAATTTTTCCACCATTCATTTTTCCCATAGGGGATTTTAAAAAATATATAATAATAAGGCCTGTGTAAAATGTCGACTTACCCTGACGTTTTGATAACCATAGAAATCTCTCTCGGACAAGACTTTTATCAATATATTAGGCTCTATTTACTCTCAGATTTGAAAATTGTAATTAGCATCAAAGTAGACATCACGCAAAACTACAAATCCCTGCAAGCTCCTGCACGTCATCTCTAGCTGATACCTTTGCTAACAGGTATTGTGTCAATTTAAAACTTGCACAAGACAGTTCACAGAATTGTCCATTTAAAGAAATGTAGCCTATTTATTCATTACTACATTTAGCTAACATTAGATAGTTAATACAGAGATTCTTACATTTGCCTTGATTTGGCAGTCTCATCCACATCATCATGGCATTTGTAGGTCTTTACAATAGCCACATTAGCAGCTAATTAGCATTTCATTTTTGGGGGGTAAATACAGGTGAATATATTGATAAAAGTCACCTTGTCCTAGAGAGATTTACACGGTTATCAAAACTTCACGGTTGTGGGAGGTGGTGAAGCCTGCACCAAAATTAAATACAGGCCTTTACCCTATCAGGTCCTGACTCTCTCATGCATTTATTAAATTGACCAATTCAACAGCTGTAGGGGAACTGAGGGAGAGAGCGGGTTACATGCTGACTAGACCGGGCGCGCGTGTGCGTCATTGCGCACATGTTGATTTTGTCCACCCACACCAGACGCAATCAGGACACGCAGGTGGAAATATCAAAACTAACTCTGAACCAAATATATTAATTTGGGCCCAGGTCAAAAAGCATTAAACATGTATGTAAATTTAGCTAGCTAGCTTACTGTTGCTAGATAATTTGTCCTGGGATATAAAAATGGGGTTGTTATTTTACCTGAAATGCACAAGATCCTCTACTCCAACAATGAATCCACAGATAAAAGGGTGAACCGAGTTCGTTTCTATTAATCTCTCCTCCTTCAGGATTCTTCTTCTTCTTTGGACTTTATATGGCGGTTGGCAAACAACTTTAAGGTGCATTACCACCACCAACTGGACTGGAGTGTGGTACCTCAGTTCATCTTTCAATCACCCACGTGGGTATATGCTCCTAAAAACAAATGAGGAGATGGGACTTGCATCGCATCAAGTGTCACAAATAGAACCAAGTTCTATTTTAGCGCCTGCTACGCAGATGCTCGTTGACGCGCGCGAGCAGTGGGGTTGCAATGATTGTATAACATGTGTAAATTTACTTTGTGACGCGAGCGGTGTGGTCAGCATGTCAGGCTGATGTCATTGCATGATTTGATTCCATTTCCAGTGCTGCACCAGTCAAATCAGTGCTATTGGTGGCATAATTGACCTGTGCAGGGCAGTGTGTAAATGACCTTGGTGCTGAGGACAGAGTTGACTGGCTGCTGAGTCAGCAGAAATGTCTTTAACAGGAATAAAGAGGAGTGGGGGGGTGACTTTCAGTGGTTTCATCTTCATGCCACTTACATAGGCCACTTATGTGGTGGGCGAACTGACTGTTTAGGGATCTTAGTTGAAAATGCATAAGGGCTAGATATCTATGTTTGACTATCTGTCAGGTGCAGTGCATCTTCGTTTTAAACCACTACAAGATGGCATTTCCATATACAACATGAAATAATAAAGATGTTAACGTCATTTTCTAATTAAAGTGGGGTCATAATTTTTATAGGTGACTAAAGCCTCCCATCAGCTATCACCCACGAAAATCTGCTTCACCGGCCAAATGTAGTAGCCTAGGCCTACCACCAGACAGAAAAACATGACCTTACATCACCTCGTCTGGCAGACAGACAGGCTGTTTTTCACAACAGACCGCCTCCCCTCTAGTCTACGGGACCAGAATCCGGGATGGGACTGGCAGGATTTGAGGTTCGGGAGGGAGCGCGATAGCCATCAGGGCAGAGCTTTGTCTTCACCTGCCGCTGACGCACCAAGATTCAGGACCAATGACTCTGCGTCATTATAAAAACAAAAATATATAATATAACCATATTTGGGTAATGATTTTTCTGTTTTCTGTGTTGAGAGGTGCTCTCTCCTCTCTCCCTGCGTGAAACGTAGGCTATCTGTGCTCAAATACGGAATACAGGAAGCATCCAACGGGCCTTCTCCCCTTTTGCTCACAGTGAAGGCAAATGTACTCTTGCATTACGGTTGGGAGCCTGGGCGCAGTAAAAATAGGCCAGTGGGCGCGCGCGCCTTATGTAACAAACTACAGAGCGCGCCGTGGGATCTTGCTGCTTTCAAGGCAACTGGGAACTCGGAATTCTCTGACATCCGACTTCAGTGCGTTCAAAGCAACTGGGAACTCTGAAAAAAACGAGCTTCGACTGGGAAATTTTTTTTGAACGTTCATCCAACTCGGAATTCCAAGTCAGAAATTTGGGGATCTTTCTAGAGCGCCGACTTTCCGACCGAAGAACACTGACATCATGATTAAACCTACTTTTTTGCCCCCAAACAACGAGGTCAAATCATGATGTCAGTGATCTTCAGGTCGGAAAGTAGAAGCTCGTTTTTTCCGAGTTCCCAGTTGTCTTGAACGCTCGGAAGTCTGAGATTTCCGAGTACCAAGTTCCCAGTGCTTTGAACGCAGCATTTCTCTCTCACACGTTTTTTTTTTTTTTTTTTTTTTTTTTTTTACAATTTCACAGTTTAATGATTCTGCTCTTGCCAAATTCGGTAAGAGAGGAAACGAGGGAGAGGGCTCTCAGGCCACCATGGCGCAGGCATGAATGTAGGGTATTATCGGGGGACGCAGGAGCAATATCGAGTGTTGCCTGCGTCAGTGGCTCTCCTACTCTCCCTCCCAGCCTAGCTGTGTCACAGAGCCGCAGTCTCGTGATGCTTGTTTACTTCTGAAGTAGGAGGGCAGAGGCTGGGTACAGACTGGGAACAGTCACTCACCCTCCCCTCGCATGCGCCTCATCACGTTGTAAATCGCAGTTGATGCCAATTGACGTTGCGAGCATGGATAATCCATTGAAGAATCTACTAGATCATGTATCATGGCGTGTTTTTAGAATTGTGCTATAACTTGTGTAAAAAAATAAGAAGAATGCGAATAGACCTAATTCTTTATATCGCCTTGTATTACATGCCTAGTATTGCCATTGTTATTTATTGACAGCACATCTCCAACTTCTCATAATAAAATAACATTATGTATAACATAGGCGTACATTCCCACAAACTTCTATCAGTTTATCCACTCCGAAACCTCTGACATACTGCCCTTAGCCTATTTCATATCAATAAGCGGATATAATTGAGCTTGTCCTCCATAATTGTTATTGCGCACTAACCCAACACAAGACATCATCAATGCTATATTGCGCACAAACCTAATAAATACATCAATACTTAACCCAAAATAGCCACTAAGGTCTGTGATACGCCTCTTCATACATCATTTGATAATAGGCTACATAGCCTGAGTTGTCCTGGGAGACGAGGATACACGTACGCATTTAATATGCATACAGGCCTAGTAAACGCATCATAGGCTACATATATGACCGGTCGGAAGCCGCATTCACGTACTAGTCGGAACTAGGAAACTCGGAAATTTCCGACTTGCTAACTGGTTGAACTCGGTACTTGTATAACCACAAAGAGTTAGTTAGCAAATCGGACATTCCAATTTGCACATGAACAACATCAATAGTACCCATATTGAGTCGCAAGAGGGCAGGAGTGTGTATGAGAGTGAGTGCATTGTTACAACACTACATAGCCAGTAACAATTTAAATGTCTATATTATTTTTAAACGTTTGTGAGTGTAATGTTTACTGTTTTTTTTATTGTTTATTTCCCTTGTTTATTTCCCATTTGTTTCTTGTCTATTTCACTTGCTTTGGTAATGTAAACAAATGTTTCCCATGCCAATAAAGCCCATTGAATTGAATTGAGTGGGAGGGCTTTAACGTCTGACGGACTCTTTTCACTATCATTCAGCCCTCTCCACCACCAATGAGCACAATAAGTAGGCGGATTTGCAGGTACGCCCCGTCGGCTCGCATCGCCCCAGTGTATTTTTTTCCTCCCCTTCTCTTTTTTTAGTAACCAAAGCTGGATGTCTACAACGTCACATATTGTTTCCCTCTTCACTCCGGTCACTTAAGCGATATGGGTTATTTACTGTTAAACTGCTACAGACGCCGAATGCACAGCCGGCGCCTGGAGTGAAACAGTGCCTCAGAAATACGGACGATACAGTTTCTCTCCAGCCTTCTATAAATGAGATATAACAACAGGTTAAGGAAAGTGAGACTTGTTTTTTAAAGCACGATAGAATGGCGAGTCCTCCAAATACTGGCGGAGGACACTTGTTATCCAACGCGAACATTAGTAACAACAAGATTAAGAAATGTGGATACCTCAAGAAGCAGAAGCACGGACACAAGCGCTTCTTCGTTCTGAAGGAGCCGGACGAGGGCTTCCCTGCCCGGCTGGAGTACTACGAGAGCGAGAAGAAATGGAAAAACAAGTCAGCGGCAAAGAGGGTTATTCCACTTGACTGCTGTCTCAATATCAACAAGAGAGCTGACGCCAAACACAAACACCTTATCGCCCTCTATACCAAGGACGAGTATTTTGCCGTGGCGGCAGAGAATGAAAAGGAGCAGGAGAATTGGTACCGAGTCTTAACGGATTTAATGAGCGAGGGGAAAGTGTACTCCGACGGCTCTGCTTCCAATTCCGCGTCTTCGCTGGTGGGGTTTGATGAGGCGAACTACGGGATGATTACGCCGGTAACAGCCGCGTATAAGGAGGTATGGCAAGTGAACCTGAAATCCAAAGGGCTGGGGCAGAGCCGGAATCTGACCGGGGTGTACAGGCTGTGTTTATCCAGTCGGACTATCAGCTTCGTAAAGCTCAACTCGGATGTCGCTTCCGTCAGTTTACAGCTGATGAACATTCGGAGATGCGGGCACTCAGAGAGCTTTTTCTTCATCGAGGTCGGACGGTCAGCAGCCACGGGACCAGGCGAGCTGTGGATGCAGGCTGACGACTCAGTGGTGGCGCAAAACATCCACGAGACTATCCTGGAGGCGATGAAAGCCATGAAGGAGCTGTCAGAGTTTCGGCCGCGCAGCAAGAGCCAGTCGTCGGGCACTAACCCCATCTCCGTGCCCACCCGGCGGCACCTCAACAACCTTCCTCCGAGCCAGACCGGGCTCCAGCGGCGGTCGCGCACTGACAGCATGGCGACGACTTCCCCGGTTAGTAAATTTACCTCCTGCCGGATACGCACTGCCAGCGAGGGAGAAGGCACCATGGCGCGCCCAATGTCTGTCAATGGGAGTCCCCTCAGCCCGGTTATTCAACGGACCCTATTAGGGAGATCAAACACCATTACAGCCCGGCCCTGCCTGACATTTGAATCCTCCTCCCTCCAGCACAGTAAGTCCATGTCCATGCCTCTGTCTCACTCCCCACCCACAGCCACCCCCAGCCCTGTCAGCCTGTCCTCCTGCTCGGAGAGCAGTGCTCCTTGCCCCTCCAGCTGCAGTGCCTCTGTCTCCCCCAGTGATGGGGGCTTCATCTCCTGTGATGAGTATGGCTCCAGCCCTGCAGGCCTGCACCTCACCCTCCGCAGTAACACCCCAGAGTCCCTGAGGGAAGACACACCCCCCTCCCGGGACAGCAGCGACCTGCACGGCTACATGGTGATGGAGAGACAGAATGGTTACCGCCGGTTACCAGAGCTGGACAAGGCATACCGGAAACGCACATACTCCCTCACCACCCCGCGCCAGCACAGGGCACTGCCCCAGGTCTCCTCTGCCTCATTGGACGAATATACGCTCATGAGGGCCACCTACCCCAGTGGTGGCCAATCGGGTCGCAGCTCTCACATGGCTTCCCCAAAAGTTACCTATCCCGAGGACTATGGCGATGTCCAGATAGGCTCCAACAGTCACCTAGGTGACAGTGGCTACATGCCCATGACTCCGGGCGTGGCCCCTCAGACAAGGGGGGTCAAAGGTAATGCTTACATGCCCATGAGCCACATGTGTGTGTCAGCCCCCAAGCAGATCATAAATCCCCGCTCTCACCCCTCTCCAGCTGGGATGGGTCCCCGTACAGATTCCCCTGGCAGCGTGTCTCTGGAGGACAGCGGCTACATGAGGATGTTCTGCGGGGCCAAGATGTCTGTGGACAGCTCAGATGAGAAACTCACCAATGGGGATTACCTCAACATGTCCCCTGTGGACCCTCTGGTGTCCTTCACCCCCCCAGACTACTTCCTCACAGACACTACCCCCCAGCCTCACCCTCACCACAGACAGCCTTACTCCATCAGTTCCCTGCCCCGCTCTCTCAAAGCTCAGCCCCAGAAGAACGGGGTCACAGACACAGACCAGTACGTGGTGATGAGTCTACAGAGGCAGAGGATAGAGGAGGAGTCCAACTACTGTCCCATCTCACCAGTCTCCATCAGTATGCCCCCCACCAACACCCTCTCCTCAGCCCCCTCGCCCCTCAGAGCCGGAAGGGTGACCCAGGAGGGGGGTCTTGTCCACAGGGGAAGGGTGAGTCGGCCTACCCGGCTGGCCCTGGACTCTCTGAGGACACTGCCCTGTATGAGTGAACACCCCCTCCCCTCTGAGCCCAGAAGTCCCGGGGAGTACATCAACATCGACTTTGGCAACACCACACAATACCCGCCTGTCTCTGCCACGACTGAAAGCTCTGGTTCATCGCTGGGCTCGGTGGATGGGCCGATGAGGAGTTCCCCGCCACTCTCCGATTATGTCAACATGGACATCAGCTCATGCTCTTTTAAACATGGGGATTCCCCTTCTTCAACAGGGCGCATGGACCAGAGTCCTGTGCTCCTCATGTGTCCCAGCCAGCCTCACAGAGAGGAACAGAGGGAGAGAGAGGAGGAGAGGGAGAGAGAGGAGGAGAGGGAGAGAGAGGAGGAGAGGAAGAGAGAGGAGGACCATAGGGAGAGAGAGGAGGAGGAGAGAAAGGGAAAGGAGGAGAGAGTCGTAGTGGAATATCCTCTCCAAAAGCTTGTGAGCCCTGTGTGCCCAGTTGGCACTGTAAAAGACGACTACACTGAGATTACCTTCAGTCCTACCAACCCCTCTGCCTCTCTCCCTGCCACCCTGTGGCCCTCTGACACCACCACCCCCCTGCCTACCAGCCCCTCGTCCTGCATCCAGAGACTCACCCTAGGGGGAGAGGGTGTAGTGGTGGTCCCCCCTGTCCCTGTGGAGTCCTTCCTCCTGGGGGGTCCCTCCATCCCGCCCGTCAACCCAGACAGGGGGGCTAAGGTGATCCGGGCCGACCCCCAGGGGCGCAGGCGCCACAGCTCCGAGACCTTCTCCTCCACCACCACGGTAACGCCAGTGTCTCCGTCGTTCGCCCACGATGCCAACAAGCGACACAGCTCGGCGTCGGTGGAAAACGTGTCGCGGCTGGTCCGGAGCTCGGAGGGCTCAGACGAGGAGTATGGGAACAGCAACAGCCCCATGTGCCGGGAGACGTCGGCGGGCTACCAAAACGGACTCAACTACATTGCCTTAAACCTGATGGAAGGGAGCCAGGGGGGCTGCAGCAGTCTGGGGGGCTGTGAGGGACTGCTGAGGTTCAAGGCAGCGTGTGGATGCAAGGGGGGCATGAACGGTTTCAACGCCAGCCCCTATGCCACCATGGGCTTCAAGGAGACTGCAACAGCAGTGAAAGGTGAGCCACTGCCGATTCTGTGTGTGTGTGTGTTTTCACATGCTTATCATGAGCCCATACGTTCATTCAGACAGTCAGTGTGTGTCAGGGCATAGAAATAGAATGAATAGAAAGGATACCTCCATTTAAGTCAATGATGGCATAATGGGTGGACTAGCCATTTTGAGTGTACCCATGGCAGGAAGTAGAAGCAGGAAGCGTACACTTCAATGTGTGCTGTGATTTGTTGAGCCAACTCATCTGACAGTACAAAAAATACATTCCATTGCATGAGCCACATCCGTTAGCTTCATTTGAATTAACATTTTACATTACCATGGCAATCCAGCATCAGATAGAACATTCCAAAATACCATGGAAATTATTGCATCAAATTACCAGGCAGCCATTGCGAGTGTACCCATGAGTTTTCAAGTTAAATTGCCAGGGTTAGAGGTTCCATGCCCCTCTATTCACTCTATTTCTATGTTGTTTTCACTGCGTCCTACTAAACCCAAAATTCTAATAATACCAGATAATTTAGACTGCCTTTGTGGCACTGACAGCGGCTGCCTGCTTGCATGCGATTGTGATGATGCAGCAGTGTGGCACGCAGACCCCAGTTTTCTTTCCCTCATGGTCTGAAACCAACCCACTGTAGCCTACTGTACATGACTGTATCGACTGGCAGTGAAAGTGAGTTCTGCTGCTCTGCTCCAGTGCTGCATGCTAGGAACTCCCAGTCACTTTACCCAAGTGGAAAAAGCAACTTGTTCTCTAAGTATTTCGTATTATTCTGAGATTCTCCATTAAGTGTGATATGTTAAGTTTCGTATTGGTTACATAAGACATACTTAAGGCATAAGTATAACGCAAACGTCTAGCAACCCAAAGGTTGCAAGTTTGAATAGCACCATGGACAACATTAGCATTTTTAGCTAGTTAGCAACGTTCAAACTACTTACTACTTTTTAGATACTTTGCAACTACTTCCCCTTCTCCTAACCTTAACCCTTTACCCTAACTCCTAAACTTAACCCAAACCTTAACCCCTAGCCTAGCTAACGTTAGCCACCTAGCTAGAATTCGTAAAATAATCTAAGTTTAGCAAATTCTTAACATATAGTATGTTTGACAAATTCGTAACATATGGTATGTTTAGCAAATTCGTTAAATATAATATGAATTGTAATTTGTAACATATCATACGAAATGGGTGATGGACAACCAAAATGAAGACATACCATACGAAATGTAACATACCATACTAAGTGGCGTGTTTCGGATTTACATACAGAATAATACGAAATGCTCTGAGACCAGGTTGGAAAAAAAAACAACGGAGGTGCGCAGTACATAGGCACTAGCTATGTAGGCTGTGGATTTGATAGGACTGTTGACGCATCCTATATTTAATGTCGGGTTGGTTTTTCACACGCCCTTAGTAATTAGTTTGAGAGATGGCATTATGGTTTTGAGCAACCTACTCATGAGAGACATCTTTAAAAAACATGTTTGCGGAAGCGACGCAGTCATATATTGAAACGCGGCAATGGCTATTACCCCACTTTTTTACGTGACAGTTTTATGTGCTGTATATTCATGGGAAATCAATCTTTACATTGGAACAAGGAAAAAACAAACATGTTTTTCAAACTGTTTAGTGTTTATTTTTGTTATTACAAGTCCGTTTTAAACAAATGTATTTGGTGCATACTGAATATAGCGTGACTACTAACTACACCATAGATATTATTTCCTTCTCTAAACATGATTTATCAAACATGGCGGAAGCAATGATAAGTGACCTGCCAAGTTGGAGCACCATAAGAAATGTAGGCTACTAGCCCTGGTATTCAGCGTATATAAACTGTGATATTTGGATTGGATTTGGAGTAGCCCGTCACACCCATTCAGTACATCATCAAGGCAAAGGCTGCGGGAAATACGCATGGTGTCGTGATGTAAATTATTGAAGTTGTTTGTATTCTGGATCAATGTGTGCGCTCGAGCCCCAGCCAGCGTTTCCTGTGACGCAGTTGTTCTTTTGGACCAGACTACGCTAGTGCAAATGTACGAAGGCTGCCTACTGAGACAGGAGAAAACATCCCAACGGGTTGGTTCACCTGATGCTAAAGATTTTTTGCTCAGCATGCCAGAACAATCCATAAGGAATATATGGGCCAGGGGTTTTCTTCTTTATATAACACAGTTATATGTGCTCTGAGAGGATTAGGATACGAGTCAGCAAATATAGTGGAAAGTTGGCTAAAACTGATTGTGTTCAAAATGAACACAGAAAATAAATCGATTTAGGGAACAAGTTCGTTAACCTACCAAATCACACTTCAACCCCGTCCATAAATATTGATTCGTCCCCTTACGGGATGGGAGGTTGGGGAAACCAAAACATTACCTTTCACCTCGTTCCGGGTTTATGTCTACTGTAGCATCAGTAGCCTGCTATACAACAGTAAATAACAGACTCCCCATATATTTGGTTGGCACATTGATGGTGAAATATAAATTACTTGTAGGCCTATAGGCAGTGGGTACACAATGTTGTTGTTGAGGCTGGGCACTGATTCAGGGATCTGCAATGCCCTGGTAAAGGGAGTGCTCTCTCTCTCCTTTCCTCATCCACTTTCACTCTTCCTCTGTCTCCCTCTCTGGCTGTAAACGGTAGGGCTGGGTTCAGTCAGTGCACTGGGTCCCCCAGAAAAACAAGTGAGTCAGTTGTTATCACTTCAGGTATTGGGTTTCATGTTAGGAATGCAGTGTACAAAGGCTGCTGGGAGAGGTGAATGCTCACTTGTTTTTCTAACCTACTGGGGGGATTGGAGATCAGCAAGAAATCCGGAATCCTCCTACTAGGATTTCTGGAAAATGTTGCAACCCTAAGCATGTCTGCTGACTGAGTTGTTTTGTAGATATAGCTGTCATTTCCACAGTAGTGTTTGTTTTCCTACTATTCCACGAACTTGAGCAGAATGAAAGCATGGCCCGAGGCTACGGAAGGAGAGGAGATGGGGGAGGAGGAATGGAGACAGAGGAGTGACATGTATTAGTTTGTTTTTCAAAATCAGGACAAAACAGACCACAGTGGGAGGGAGGGGGGAAGAACAGAGGAGAGGGGAGGGGAGGGGGAACAGAGGAGGAGGAGGGGGGGGAGAACAGAGGAGGAGGAGGAGGGGGGGGAGAACAGAGGAGGAGGGGGGGAACAGAGGAGGAGGGGGGAACAGAGGAGGAGGGGGGGGGAAACAGAGGAGGAGGGGGGGGGAACAGAGGAGGGGGGGGGGAGAACAGAGGAGGAGGGGGGGGGGGGAGAAAAGAACAGAGGAGGAGGAGGAGGGGGGGGGGGGGAGAACAGAGACAGGGGGGGGGGAGAGCGAGAAGGAGCCGAGTTGATCCAGTACGAGGTGATCCGGTACGAGGTGGCCGTGGACGGCTTGCTTGGTTATTTATGGCATTCCTGAAAAACAAACGATCAGCCGGAGAGAAAGAAGAAAGTGTTTACTGTGTGACAGCTGCTGTGTGTATCTATTTGTAGGTTGCTTTGGCCTTGTGTGTTTGGGAATGAGATATCAGTGTTTGAGATGTATTTGTTTATTGGTTAATTGACTCACTGAGCTGATGGCCCGTCCAAAGCTAGTGTTTTTGGCATTGTTGTTGTTTTGGTTTGGAGGTAGGCATGCACTCACTGAGAGGGGTGGGGGGGATCACTGAGTGGGTTGGGGGCTGTTTAAATTTCAAAGCATGCCCCCATATGGCCCACCCCTGCCCCTCTCCCCTCTGACCTTTGAACTGGCCCTGGGTGTGTGAGGTCTCTTGGTTTAGCAGTGAGGAAGGGAACGCAACAAGCAAACACCAGTTATTAGCAAACAGAAGAAGAAGAAACATGCACAGTATTCAGCTCTCCTATGGCCTCTAGTCTGTCTCTGTCTCTCTCTCTCTCAATTTCAATTTCAATTTAAGGGCTTTATTGGCATGGGAAACGTATGTTAACATTGCCAAAGCAAGTGAAGTAGATAATAAACAAAAGTGAAATAAACAATAAATATTAACAGTAAATATTACACTCAGAAGTTCCAAAAGAATAAAGACATTTCAAATGTCATATTATGTGTATATATATATATATATATATATATATATATATATATATACACACACAATGTTGTAACAATGTGCAAATAGTTAAAGTACAAATGGGAAAATAAATAAACATAAATATGGGTTGTATTTACAATGGTGTTTGTTCTTCACTGGTTGCCCTTTTCTTGTGGCAACAGGTCACAAATCTTGCTGCTGTGATGGCACACTGTGGATTTTCACCCAGTAGATAAGGGAGTTTATCAAAATTGGGTTTGTTTTCAAATTCTTTGTGGATCTGTGTAATCTGACGGAAAAATGTGTCTCTAATATGGTCATACATTTGGCAGGAGGTTAGGAAGTGCAGCTCAGTTTCCACCTCATTTTGTGGGCAGTTTTCACATAGCCTGTCTTCTCTTGAGAGCCAGGTCTGCCTATGGCGGCCTTTCTCAATAGCAAGGCTATGCTCACTGAGTCTGTACATAGTCAAAGCTTTCCTTAAGAGTGGGTCAGTCACAGTGGTCAGGTATTCTGCCACTGTGTACTCTCTGTTTAGAGCCAAATAGCATTCTAGTTTGCTCTGTTTTTTTGTTAATTCTTTCCAATGTGTCAAGTAATTCTCTTTCTTTTTTCTCATGATTTGGTTGGGTCTAATTGTGTTGTTGTTGTTCTCCTGGGGGTCTGTTTGTGTTTGTGAACAGAGCCCCAGGACCAGCTTACTTAGGGGACTCTTCTCCGAGTTAATATCTCTGTAGGTGATGGCTTTGTTATCGAAGGTTTGGGAATCGCTTCCTTTTAAGTGGTTATAGAATTTAACGGCTCTTTTCTGGATTTTGATTATTAGCGGGTATCGGCCTAATTCTGCTCTGCATGCATTATTTGGTGTTTTTCGTTGTACACAGAGGATATTTTTGCAGAATTCTGCATGCAGAGTCTCAATTTGGTGTTTGTCCCATTTTGTGAATTCTTGGTTGGTGAGCGGACCCCAGACCTCACAACCATAAAGGGCAATGGGTTCTATAACTGATTCAAGTATTTTTAGCCAGATCCTAAATGGTATGTCAAATTTTATGTTCCTTTTGATGGCATAGAAGGCCCTTCTTGCCTTGTCTCTCAGATCGTTCACAGCTTTGTGGAAGTTACCTGTGGCGCTGATGTTTAGGCCGAGGTATGTATAGTTTTTTGTGTGCTCTAGGGCAACGGTGTCTAGATGGAATTTGTATTTGTGGTCCTGGCAACTGGACCTTTTTTGGACACCATTATTTTTGTCTTACTGAGATTTTCTGTCAGGGCCCAGGTCTGACAGAATCTGTGCAGAAGATCTAGGTGCTGCTGTAGGCCCTCCTTGGTTGGTGACAGAAGCACCAGATCATCAGCAAACAGTAGACATTTGACTTCAGATTCTAGTAGGGTGAGGCCGGGTGCTGCAGACTGTTCTAGTGCCCTCGCCAATTCATTGATATATATATATGTTGAAGAGTGTGGGGCTTAAACTGCATCCCTGTCTCACCCCACGGCCCTGTGGAAAGAAATGTGTGTGTTTTTTTGCCAATTTTAACCGCACACTTG